AAGCAGTTGGCGTTTCTGCGGGGACAGGCCATCGGGGTGGGGCTGCTCCCTCCCCTCACCTCCTGTCTGCCATCAGCAGCTGGTTCCGACAGGTGCTTGGCTGCCCACGGCAGATGGTGACCGAAATGGGATGGTTGGCAGGGCTCTCCACACGCCGCCCTCCCATCATACGCAGATGTGTGTACAAACACGTGTCTGAGCGCATGGCTTTGTTCTAAAGGACCTGCGTCCGGTTTCAGGTGACACCAGGAGGCTCATTCCAGAGGACAGGCATGGTCCCTGGGCCACCGCTCGGTATCTGGCTGCCAGGCTGAAGGGGCACGTGCCTGCGCCCAGGCACAGCATCCTCCATCCTCCGTTCTGCAGCCACGTGTCTCCCGGCTGGTGCATCTGCCCTGGATTCTGCCTGCCTCCCCAGCGCGCCCCATGAGGCTCTGGGTTCTGTCTGGGAAAGGCCCACGAAGGCCCAGCTGCAGTGGCCACGCCGCCCCAGGACTCCGGAGCAGAGGCTGGGCCCTGCTTTGCTTCTGTCATCTGTAACCTAGGGCGTGGTCCTCCGCGCATCCGATGGAGACACTGGTGGGATCCCAAATGCACTAGGAGCCTCATCTTGGTGGAACAGCAGGACATGTCTGTGGCCCGGTGCTGGGGGACAGGATCACGCAGCTCGTCCTCGGGAGGCAGCCCAGCCCCTTTACCCCTGAGCTGAGAGCCGCCCGATGACTGAGCCTCCCCACCCACCGGGGACCAAGGCCTCGCCAGCGCCGTCCCCCAGCGTTGCTGCCCACAGCTTCGCAGAAGCCCCGCCTGCGCCGTGTTTGGGCTGCTCTTTCCAAACAGCTAACCAGCCAAGGCAACCAGATGAGGGTGACATCTGGCTTGAGACCGTTGCCAAGTCACTGCTGTTCCATCGCTGGCAGGAAGGAGGTGAGCTCCCTGTGCCAGATTCTAAAAGAGAGAGAGAGAATAAAAATGTGTGTTCCACGCCCCACATTTCTTCCTTCTTTTTGCCCTGACACCTCAGCTGTCACTTTGCTTTCCCTGGAACTCGGACGTCTGAAGACCCAACATCCATAACTATTTAGAGCAGACTTTCACCGCCTGATGGCAGACAAAGCACTGGGGCAAATGATGTGATGGGGCTGGAGTGGTGAGACTTAAAGGCGAGCTCAGAGGGAAAGTGCACACAGGCGCGTGCACACACATACGTGATGGATCACAGGGGGACAGCGGGGTGACAGAGAGGAGCTATTCACTGAGTGTCTTCCACGGATGAGGCTCTCCGCAGTGAGTGTTTTTAGCGAACTGAACAGGATGAAAATAAGACAACACGGATGAAGTACCGTGTTCCCTGCCTCTCGCAGTATGGAGGAGAAATGTTCATGGTTTTCACTCTGTCTGATTCTTTGTGGAGAGTCAGGAACAGCCTGGTGCCTGTGGGCCAGCCTGGAACTAGAAACAAGACTCATCCATTTGTGTCCGGCAGGGGCAGGAGAGGGAGTGCGTGAACTCAGCTAGGGGAGCTGAAAGTCCAGCTGGCAGGCCGAGTGTGGTGTCCAAAAGTCACGGCAGCTTGTTAGCTGTGTGACCTTGGGCGAATTCCTTAACCTCTCTGAGCCTCTGTGATCCATCTGGAAAATGAGAATAAGAGCATTTTATGAATTTCCAGCAAGAGACGTGGAAATTATCTATGTGATGAAAAGATTTCAGAACTTCAGTGGAATGGGCAGCTTCACGTGATGCCATTTCAATAGGGACATTTCAGTCTATGTATTTTCCAAGAATGTCACCATCACCAGGTGATACTGTCACTGTTATTTTAGACATGAGGAAATTGAAGAACAGACAGGAGAAGTGACTTGGCCAGGTCATGCAGGTAAGTGGGGGGTCCTAACAGATAGTGACGGCACAGGAAGGGAAGAGGTGGCTTCAGAGGTGACCTCAGGAACGTCAGGCAGCAGATACGGGGCAGCACAGCCCAGGGTGTGTTGGCGCGTCTCCTCCACGCAGGCCGCTGTACTGTACCTTGCTCACTTTTCTTCAGGGCACTCACTTTTCCTCTTGGCATAAATTAAGCTGACAGCCTAGTCCCAGACACCAACATGTGTTATTTTTTCACATGTGAGCTGTGTCTCACCTGCTCTGTGCTTGTTTCTTTCATTTCTTTGAAGCATACAGGGGTTTTTCTTTATCTCTTTAAAACATCTTGTTTGGTCCTACTTTTTATGGCCAACAAAAAACCCCTTCAAATAGATCCTGTTCATGGAACCAAGGTGAGATTCACGCTGTGGATGGCCTTAAGTCTTGCCTCGTCAGATGTGACATTCTCTTGGTGTCATTGGTGGAAGCGACAAACAAGAGTTATGTATTTCACAATGTGGAGGTTGATGTAACATGCCCATGCTCTCATGGTCAGCCTTTCATCAGCTCCCCTTGGCTCGTGGTCAGCATGAGGGACAGACTTGAGGGTCATGACATGAGTCAGCAGGACCAGATGGGGGGCTGTGGCAACAGTCCAGCCAAAGGTTGGTGATGGCTTAGCCTGGGAAGTATCGATGAGGGTAGGGTGGACTCATGTTAGCTGTGTGACCTTGGGCGAGTTCTTAACTTCTCTGAGCCTCAAGTCAAGATGGAGTGTTGAGATTTGCTTGAGAAACAGGATTTGCTCTGAGACATCAGAGAGCAGAGGGTTGACAGTAGCAAAGAGATGTCTAGCCTGGGGAATAGGTGGCTGGTTATGTCTTGCACCAAGAGTGGGAGCAGGAGAAGATGGACTGCTTCAGCTTGGGCTGTGCTGTGTCTGAAGCTCTGGCGGGGTTGGGGGTTGGGGGGCAGGTGTGGCAGGTTTCAGTAAGCAAGTAAAGAGGAGGGTCGGGATCCCAGGAAATGGTGGGGGATAGAAATCGGAGAGTGAGGCATCCTTGGTCCAAACAGCCCAGTACCTGGGGTGCAGGACAGTTTGTCTTCTTCTTCTATTTTTTTTTTTCAGAGAATAAGCCCCATGTAAGTGTTACTATTACTTTTATCAAGAAAAGGAACAATTTACACACCTTCACAGACTTAGGAATAAAGCACAAGGCTGCTGATGTCTTCTGAATTAATTAGACCCTCTCCAATAATTTTTTTGGGGGGGGATAGTTTGTATTCGTACTGAAACTCCTACTTGTTCAGTACGTTTCTATTTTACTGCCTCTTCTGCATCCTGTGGTGACTGCATACCGCATCTTGATCAGATACCAATTCTGAGAGTTTTGTCAAGGATCTCTTAAATCTTTAAGCTACTCTGGCGAGGCAGAGATTCTTTGAGTGGATTAATAGGATTGCAAAGAAGACCTAATAGCTGTAGAATTCTTAGGCTTTCCAAAAAGCAGTGGACAGACACACTGACAAGCTTCCACACCAAATTCCCATTTTTCGAGGGTCCTCTGGAGATCAGCAGCACAGCAGGAAATCTCTGTCGTCACAAACGGGGAACTAGTTTAACGACAGGAGCCAAAATAAATGGCCACATCTCCAGGAAGGAGGAGTATAAAAATGGGAGTTCTCAGGATCTTTAATTTGGACCAGTCTTAATTCACATCTATATAGTGATATTCAAAGGGGAATAGGTAATAAAAACATCCAAGGTTTTAGATGAAGTTAATTTCTTCCATCATGTTGAAAGCAGGTAGTGTAAATATTGTACCATGGGCCAGGTATACTGTGCCACAGAGGGCCTGAAATACTTTTTAGTTAAGAAGGCCGATATAGTGAGTGATTGAGGACAGGGAATCAGGAGTTGGGCTACCTGGGTTCAAATCCTGCCCCACAACCCTGTGCTGAGTCAGAGGGGCTATTCTGAGGCTGGCATAAGTAACACATGCAGGGTGGCGCCTGGCACAGAGGAGGGACTAGAGGAATGTCAGCTCTTAGCGCCTCTTCACCTCCCCCCAACCCCACACCCACATCCTATTCCTTGTCTGCCAGAAACATGGGATTATCACCAGGGTCTTAATAGACATCATGCAAGATACTTCTTCAAAGGGAAAATCGAAGGAAAAGAAACCCCCCTCCCCAAACTCCAGGCCTGTGTCCAGCCGCTGTGCAGCTGTGACATTCAGCACTGCCCTGCGGACAGAGCCCCAGCAGTGCAGTGCAGGCAGTGTGGTCCATGGGCTGTCTCCAACCATGGTGTGTGAAACCCTCATTGAGTGTCTCTAGAAAAATAGGGAAGCGTGAAATGAGGCTTCAGTTAGAAGGCTCTGGTTTTCCCACCTTCTCTCGGCAGAATCCCTGCCACTTCCCGCAGTAGGACATTCCAAGGGCTCAAAAAGATCGTGACATCTTCAAAAATAACTAACAGTGCGAGCAGGGCTACTGAAATGGAACACGGTGTTCCTAGCATGTTGTTCCATCGATTCCTCCAGGCAGCACTGGGAGGGAGGTACTTATCCCCATTTTACAGAAGGGACGGCCAAGCCTCAAGGCCACGTGGTTTGATAGAGCCAGGAGTAGAATTAGACCCCTCTTGTCATTAACATCTGTACAAACATGGTCTCCTTGAGAACCCCGGAGATACCATACGGCTTTCTTGATACTTAGAGACACAAAGTGCTGCTTTGAATATATAGCGTCATTGTCTTGACTCCAGGTCGCTTTAACCAGAAAGCATGCTGATTATATGGCGGCGTCACCACATTTAAACCGTATAATTAGCTTATGTTCTGCCGTCTTCCCTTGAGGAAGTTCCAGTTCTTCTCCTGGTTCTGAGCCTTGGAGAAAATTAAAATTACGCTTTGGCCAAGAACACCCATAGCCTATTTTGGATCCCCTCTTTAATTTTCCCTTTTCTTTTCTCCTTCCTTCTCCCCCTTCCTTTCTTCTTTGAAAAAAAAAAAACAACCCTGACTGCACTTCATCACTAAGAGGCTTAAACAGCCTGAATAGAGAGTCTTCATTAATCCAGACCCCTCCGTCTTATCTCCACTCGGGTTTTATTTGTTCCTTTGTTACCGTATTAGCAATTAGAAGAACAGAAGAGGCAAGAGTCCTCCACTGATGCCTCCTTAGACGTTGAGATGCAGTTGCCTGGAACTAGAAAGCATCGCGGGCCTGGGCCTGTCACCCCAGCTTCAGGACCGCATGCTGACAGCATCACAGGAAACAGCCTTCTGTGTGTCCTACTCCCGTTTCCTTGCACTGTGTCATCTTTAAGCCTTGGAGGAGACCAACAAAAGCTTCTTTTCTCTCTTTCTTTAACATCATCATATATTCCCTACCATGTGAGGCTAGAAGTGAGAGCATTAAAGCAAAATATATCTTAAATGTATTTTCTCCTCGAGCTTTTATTTTATTCCAGTCCTATTTTTAGTTTTCTTTGATAATAAAAAAAAAATCCAGTCATTTGAATTCTTAGCCCTCGACTGTACAGTGTGAGGTTATACATACTGCAGCCCCAGGGGGGATTTCTGCTTGCAAGCTGGCCAGCCTGTTTGCAGTTGACAGATGTAACCTACTCCAGGGCAGAGGAAGTCTCAAGGGAGGTTTTAATTTCTTAATATTGAAATGAGCACAACTTTTATTGTCTTAATCAGTGAATAAAAAAGCAATAAAGTTGCAAAGTCTCATTCTTTAAACTCAGTGTAAGAGGATTTTAAGAAATTATAATTGCTTTTGAAATAACTGTTGAAAGTTAATTTTCTCTGTGTTCGGGAAGATTCTTCCAGCAGCTCTGCAGATGGACAGTCATATTGCAGTTACGTGAAACATTTTTCTGAGCTGTCCTGTGGACACCAGTCCTCGGCAGGGAGAGGGTGTCTGCTAAGACATGCCGAGTGGGTGTACTTTGTCTTTGAAGAGAACGTGGCTTGGTTTTCATCACGTTTCATGAGCTCAGAATACAGGAGCATGCATTTACAATTGCAGCAGAAATCTTTTAATGCAAACTGCAGTCTTTCAGAAGATCTGCTCCTTTAGGCAAGGGGCTGTATTGAGGTATATTTCTGACTATGAATAAAGGATTTTCTAATGATAATTAATGGCCTTTATAAAGTCATAGTGAGCGTGTTTCAACTGTTTGTCTGAACAAATAATTATTTTATACACAGAAAGCTGATGTATTACATGCAGTCATTCTTACGTCTTTCTTACTTTAATCCAACTTAAGCCCACATTTCTTAAAAACAAAAGTTCCTCAATTGCTGGGGCCACATGCTATTCAATTCTGGTCCCCTGGGACCTTGTACAGTGTCTTCCCTGGAACGCAATGAATATTTCTTGAGCTAAACTGAAAAAAGAAAATTGCTTAAGGAGCTTTGTGTATGTGTGTGCGTGTATGTATATGTGTGTGTACATATATATATAGAGCGAGATAGCTATCTTATACAATATAAAATATAAAATACCACGTTAGAGATGTGGAGACAAGATGCCCAGTGAGAGTGCACCAGAGTCCCAGGGGAGGGGTTGTGCATTTAAAATCAAAATGCAACTTTGGAATATGTAAAGTATTCTCAAAATTCAACAATAACAACAACAAATCAATGTTAAAAATGGATAAAAGATGTGAACAGACACTTCACCACAGAAGATATACAGAAGGAAGTAAGAACATTAAAAGAAGCTTAACATTATTCATCATTAGGGAAATGCAAATTACAACCACATTGGAAGACTACCACACCCCATTTAGCATGGCGAAATTAAAAAATAATGGCAGTTTATCCCTTCTCTCTCCCTCCCGCACTGCCGGTAACCATAAGTTTGTTTTCTATGTCTATGAGTCTGTTTCTGTTTTATAAATAAGTTCATTTGTCTTTTTTTTTAGATTCCATATATGAGTGATATCATATGATATTTTTCTTTCTCTTTCTGGCTTACTTTACTTAGCATGAGAATCTCCAGGTCCATCCAGGTTGCTGCAAATGGCATTACTTCATTCTTTTTAATGACTGAGTAGTACTCCATTGTATAAATATACCGCAGCTTCTTTATCCAGTCATCTGTCGAAGGACATTTAAGTTGTTTCCATGTCACCAGAAATTGACACAACATTGTAAACTGACTATACTTCAACAAAAATCATCATCATCGTGGCAATACCAAGTGCTGGCAAGACACAGAGCAGTGAGAACTCTCAAACATTGCTGGTGGAAATGCATGTTTGCACAACTCTGAGACTCTGCTAAAAGCCACAGATGTGAAAACTTCAAAATGCTGGATTTATGGCATGTGAACTGTATCTCAGTAAAATAGTTATCTGACAAAAAGAAGCACAGTTTAGAAAAGGCTCCAAAACATGTGGCCGAAACAGAGGACATGGGTAACAGGTGGATGACCGCCTAGTTTAATCTTCCCATTTCACAGTTGGGGAAACTGAGGCCCAGATGCAGACCAGTGAAGCAGGCTGCCCAGTGGAATCAATTCGTGCAATCAACACGAATTTCTTTACACGTTCTACGGTTATGGTGAGCAGCCAGCCCAGCTGACCTCAGACCGTCCTAGTTTTAGCCCTGACAGTCCCACATCCTGAGAAGCCCCCATCCTGGGCCAATCAGGCCTGTTGGCCGCACTGTCTGTGGTTCAAACTGGGATGAATATTCGTCCCTGTGGCTCTGAATCCCTGACATTCATGCATAAATGAGAAATGGCGGTATTCAGGGAAGTTCCTTTGCCTTGCTGACTTCCGTGTTCTAAACTTAAGCAGCTGGCATTTTGCTTTAAGTTCTTTTCTATTCAGCCTTTCAGAAGGAAATCGTTCTTTCCTTTTAATGAAATCTAGATGTCATCCTGAAAGCCAGTGTCCTTGGCTTCCTTGAAAGTGACAAGTGGATTCTTTTGTATACTAGACGCTAAAGATCTGACAAAAACAGAGGTTGGCGTTAATTGATTTCAGATATGAAAAAGCAGATTATAACCGCTCACAGTTATACTCAGAGAACATGGAGAGGAAGAGGGAGACAGACCCATTTCCTGTAAAAGCCGTGAAAGGAAACCTCATGTAGCAAAAGTCATTTGAATTCCTTTTCAAAACCAGCAGACCTCAGAGGGAAGATCTATTCAAGAGAAGCCAGCAGGCCTTGGATGTGGGGTTGGTGTGAGTCACCGCGTGGGTGGAGGAGGGCCTGCGGAAGCCAGAGCAAATGGGCAGTGGCGCATTTCAGCCACACAGCTCTGAGCTTCTCCCCTGGCCTGAAGCGGGGGGCCCAGCTCAGCCCCTGTCCTTCCCCGGCCAGGGCTGCCGCCCAGCCCAGCCTGACGGGGCTCCACCTTCCGAGACACGAAGTCGAGAAGCAGGAGGACCCAGTTCCTCTGGCACCCAGGAGACGGTGCTTGGAATTTGTCAGGTGTGGGGAGGCAAAGGATAACCACTGAGTCATGGAAAAACGAACACTGGCCATCTCCTCCCCACCCATCCCCACCTTGGCCCATCTGCCTTAAAGACATGGCCGCAGGCAAGCAGGTGACCTCAGAGGCATCTGCCAGCTTTGCTGGGTCCCAGTGTTTCCTTTAATCTTGTAGAGTGCTCTGATGTGTCCCTGCGGTTACAGGGCAGGCGATGGACGAAGTGTGTCGCTGGGTCACCTTAAGTGGGAGCCAGCAGAGAAAAAGACCATAAGCTTGATGCCTCCAAAGGCCTCTCCCCCTACCTGCTTTCATCTGCTCCTGCTGTTTGGCCTGAGTCCCTTTCAGCTTCCGGGACTCTCCCCCTACTCTGCCCCCTGCCCTGTCCAGGCTCATGACCCCCTCCCTCCGTGCACTTGGGGCAGGCCCATCACTGTCCTCACAGCTGCCCATCGTAAGATTGTCGCGTCACTGCTCACCTCCGTGGGACCTCCCCTTCCCGGCTGGATTGGTCTTTCCTTCCTCTGCGGCCCCACGGCCTCTGCACCTCCGGTGTTCTGGCACGTTCCGTCTGCCTTTACCTGCATGTATGAGCTGTCTCCTCTAGCAGAATTCTGACCTCCCTGAGTGATGGGCCATGGTCCTCTTCACTCCCCAGCATGTGGGCGTGGCTCCCACTTTGTCACGGGTCAGCCATCCCATCCCTTGGCCCATCACGTGACCAGCCTCCCTGTCTGAATCGAAATCTCCTCCAACGCTGGGAGCGTCTCTTCCCCCGTCCGGCCTCGCCAGCTCCTGCTGTGTAACAGGCACTTAGGTTGTAATTGCTCCCATGTCTGCTGTGTTTCCTGCTCCAGAGAGAGCTCCTTCAGGTCAGGGGTTGCCTGGTCCCCCTCCATGTTCCTAACGCCTGGCACAGTCCATGGCGCACGGCGAATGCCCCGCTGGCGTTAGTTAATTAAGTGGGGTTGTAGAGTTAAAGAGCTTATTTGCAGGGAAGTCTCGTGACCGGCTCACGTGAGCACTGCCTGTCTTCCTGGATCTTTCAGCATCACATCCCAAACCCGGGACAACTGGGATCTGTACTAGAGGAAGAAAATATTCCGCGTGGGGGGCTCTGCTCCACATTGTCACTGCCCTCACAGCAGCCCCAGCTGGAGCAGTGCTGGCCGCTGTGGCCGAGGGGAAAGTGCGATGCTCGTGCTGGCGCGGGGCAGCATCTGCCCAGAAACGGCAGAAGTCCCTTCCACTGGCAGCCTTGTGACTAGAGCAAGTCATGTGGGCACGCTGACCTCAAGACGGAGGGCAGGGGATGTTGGCGACCACGAACAGAGTCTGCCACGCTTGTCCCCTGGAGCAGAGCTTCTCAAGTTCTAGCACGCACATGGATCGCCTGGAGGGAGTGTTAAAATGCAGATCCTGATTCAGTAGGTCTGGGCAGGGGCCAGATTTCACATTTCTAACAAGCTGTTGGACCGTTGTCCACATCTTTACGGGCCAAACTGAACTCCTTCCCTGTCCCCGTCTCTGCAGCGATAGAACTCAGCTCTCAGCTCTCTCATTTTGTGTTGCAAACCGAGAAAAGCATCCTTGAAGGTCAGAAGACACTTGTGATTTACCTCGAGGGTGAGGGGGACACAGAGGGATGGATAATGAAAGCCGTTAAGTGCTCGGCACAGCACAGCGGCGGAGTCTGGAGAAGGACAGAGCACAAGGATGCTGCAGCTCTTCTAAGAAGCCAGGATCCTTCCATCCAGAGGCCACCATTTACATAAGCAGATTTGGTAAATGGACCCGATTAGACCTAATTGTGTCACCTCTTTGTCTGCTTTGCCCCTGTTAGTTTCACGGAGCTGGGAAGAGTCAGTGCAGCTCTGACTCGGCTTCATAAAGGCTTCAGCCCCATCGAGCACCCTCCTCATCCATGTCACGTCTTTGTCCCCAGGATCTTCTTCTCACCCTTGCAAGTGCTGATGGTCACTGACGGGCTCGGGCC